AATTGTTTTGTTGTCATTTGTTTCTTGACAATGGTACGAGTCAGTACCGAAAGCTCGAAATCGACAAATAAAATTATTGAATTTAGTTAAAATTCTTAATATGTATTTTGTTGCGGTCTTATACAAATTATTTTACGCATAAAATATATTGAAACGGATCTTCGATCTTTACTTACTTAAGAATATTGTTAGGACTATTATTTAATAGCTCATAAATCATTTTTTCTTGTTTATATAACGTTGAAGATTGGATATCATTATCGGATAAAACTTTAACTGCAACACGTAATCCCGATGACAGAATTCTTCCAGTATGTATCGTACAAAATCGTCTTTGTTGCGGAATTTCAGGATCTAATTGAATTGATTCAATAGATTCAAGAAATGGTCTTGTTTCAGGGTATCTTATTGTAGGATCAATTAGCATTTTACGTGCATGCTCTTTATTACATTGGCGACGAAGTAAAAAAAATGCAATTAAACCACAAACCAACAGAAATACAATAAGTGCACAACCGATGATTATGTATAACATACGTTTATCATCACCAATACCTAAAATTGTGATGAATCAACTAACAGCGTAATAGCACTACAGAATAACAACTGACAGATATTTCTGAGGTCGAATCTGACACTGTTCAAAAAGTCAGAAAAAATTATTATCTGTTTCTATACACTTTATGAAAATGCTTGTCAAAAAAAACTTATTTTACACCTCGCCATGATGCTCTGAAGGTTGAGGTGTGCCTGTGCAAAAGCAAAGATTGCTCGACTTACTAGTCGTCCTAGTAGTTGGAGACTTCCATTGGTCTGAAGTTGTTGTTTCATAAATAGTTGTTATGTTAACAGGCCTAAAATAGAATAAAAAAATGAAGTTTAATAAAAGTAAAATTACAATACACAAGTCACAAATTCATAGGAAGAAGTAAGAAGGTTGGACATAATTCTATCAGTAAAATTTACTTTACTTCTTAAGCCAAACGTTCAAGAAATGTTCTTGTATCAGATAAACTAAAGACACTTTTCTACTACTATCCTAACATTTCTGCTTGAAATATATCACACATCATTGAAAGTATAAAGTAAAACTCGATTTCATCTTACAAAAAACTTATAAAGTATTTACGGTTATTATTTATTCTTACCAAATAATTTTTTTATTACAATAATCTTTATCACAACAACATCGATAATAAGTATCTACTGGAGGAGAGTTGTATATTTTTTCCATTATACATTCACTTTTATTTTCACATTTACGCCCAATAAATGATTGTTCTTTATAACAACCCATATCCAATATACGATTAAAACTTTCATTCTTATTTTTCTCTGTTGCTAATACTGTACAATACCATTTGCTGGTGTGAACATAAATATGATCCGAATCTGTACATGTATCATTGAAATACACGCATCTATTCGAAAAACAATTCGATGATTTTGTACGCACACATTGAAGATTTTGTGAACAAGAGGGACGATGAATAAAACAGGAAAAAACTAAAATATATAAGTTAAAAAAAAACATTTTTAGCTTCAAAAATCATCTACTTTCTTTCCAATTGAAATTAGCTCTACTTACACATTATAAGATTGTTTTTTGAATAACTTTTTGATAGGAATGAGATAAAGACTTACAGTTTTCACCATTCAAAAGAGGAGGCTTGGGATCATGTTCCCATAAACAAAATTCTTTCCAGAAAGGTTTTTTAAAATAGGTTTTCTAGGAGTTCTTTAGAAAACCCAGTTGTTTCTTAGAAACTTTCACTAGGATTATATTGATTTTTTCCATGGACTGGTAGCCCAGAGTGTCCTCTTCAAAATACGAGTCAAGCGAGACCTTAATTTCAATGGTTCGGGTATGGTATCGAACGGAAACGAATAGACTGTAGGTAATCAATCAATGCTGAGTTTTATGGTAATATTTGTTTTTAGAAAAAGATTTTAAAAATGAACGAAAGCTGCATTTTTCTAAAATTACGGTTGAAAGAATTTTGTTTATGGAAACATGTCCCCAAGTCTCTATCCTCTTTTGAACGGTGAAAATTGCAAGTCTTTATCTCATTCCTATCAAAAGTTATTCAAAAAACAACCTTATAATTTGAAAAGGATAGTAGTCCTAAATTAACGAACATTATGGTTCCCTTGTTGTCTTTAAACGAAATTACCTAGAAGGAAAATTGTGAAACCGAGATTCTTGCCCATTTACAATAAAAGATTTTATCCAACCATTAAAATATTAATATCATCTTTTCTGTTCTCGATGAGAGAAATTCATCATTAAGATTTGAAGCATGATAATATTGCTGCAAGCACACAACCAAAGTACCAGATTAGTTAACTGAAACATTAAGTAATTAATTTAATTGTAAAAAGAATAAAGAGACATCATTGATACTTTAAAGGAAGGCCATTGTAAGGTTTAAGAAAGATTTTAAGCACTCTTCCTACTTTAATAATGAATAACTTTTTATTCAGACGTTTCGGAAGACATCAGACTGCCTTCTTCAGTGCAGATTTTTAAAGGATAAAATGACAACAAACTGAAATAACTGTAAATAGTCCTTTTCTTTTCTTTCTAATACTGATACGGAGGAAGATGACGAATAGTTATCCTATCCAATTTTACCGTCTTGTTTCCGTACCATTATTAGAAAGAAAAGAAAAGGACTATTTACAGTTATTTCAGTTTGTTGTCATTTTATCCTTTAAAAATCTGCATTGAAGAAGGCAGTCTGATGTCTTCCGAAACATCTGACTAAAGAGTTATTCATTATTAAAATAGGAAGAGTACTTAAAACCTTTCTCAAACAATGGAAACATTTCCAGTTAAGACTTAAAATCTGACGCCCCATAAACCTAGGCTTATAGAACATGCTAAACAGTTCATTCTGTGAAGAATACAAATCTGTCATAAGAATATCTATAGATTCTTTCGATTCAATGAAAAAAGTGTTTTCTTATTAGACTTTTAGAATGGGCTGAGATTCAATAAAATGGTCATAACTCGTACAATAAAAGGTTTTTACCATTTGATTCTGTAAATTCTTTTATGAAATCACTTTTGATATATATTGGTTGATAACAGGTCGGTTCTATTTATCTTTAAGATAAATGGCCTCCAAGTTTAATTACAAGGCCATCGATCGACAGTCAATTTCAGTTAGTTTTTTTAAATGAAACATTGGAATGATCTGATTTATTTTTAATATAAAACAAAAGCTGTGTCTGCTGTAAATTTCTGAAACTCTCCAAAAATGATGTTTTGATACTAGGAAGAAACAAGAAGAATTTTTTTTCATAAAAAAAAACCGTGGAGATGTTCTGATTACAGATTTGTATTTGTTATAGGCTGAAGTTACTAACTATCCCGGTAAGCCTAGATTTGTAGGAAGGGACAGATTTTAAGTATTAACTAAAGGTGTCCTTTGACTTATTGTTTATTTGTTTACGTTTGTTATGTTATGTCTATTAAATCATTTCTCACCTATGAGTAGACATTTCCTCAAGCTCTAAATCTCAAACCAATATTCGTCGAAACTCCTTTGACAAACTCAATAGCTTTTTCGAAGGATTTTACTTGAGGTTTAGAACTGATATTAAGTTTTGTCTAATATATAAATCTAATCGGAAGTAGTAATGCACTTATGCGTTAGCGCTATGTTCAACGTTTCTAGTTTAATTCGAAGAGGATATGCATTATACAGCTAACCTCTCTATTTCGACAATCACTAAAACTTTTTCTTGGTACAAGAAAACATGAATGTCACGGTTGCTAGGAGAGTCACGCTTTTCGAGGCATGCGCGTTTCCGAAACAGATGGTGTCGTGATCTAGAGTAAATAGCTGCATACTAAAGTAGACTTATCTGCGTCCGAAATTTCATTGTGAGGTAACTAACGCATATCAATGGATTGAAAAATTTTAAAAGTTTGTTCGGTCAAAACCGTTTGCAAATTCGTCTTCTCCATGGGCGATTATCCGGCATCGAAGTACTTTAGAAAAGTTTTTCGATACCGTTTTGCCTTTGGTCCTTCCCATACAGTAACTTTTTGAAAAATTTTTGAGCAAGACCGTGAGAAATTTTTTTTCTAAAGTACCTCAAACCAAAAGGCATCGCGTACGAGATAATCGATCATGGAGAAGATGAATCTGCAAACGGTTTTGACCGAACAAGCTTTTAAAATTTTTCGATCTTATGATATGTTGTATGCCGTTGAAGCACTGATAACGAGACTTTTTGAGTAAAAGAAAAGTGCGTATTGATACTTCAACAATCGTATGCCATATTAAAATATCAGAATTTTGTTCCTTATAAAAACTGTAAAATATGATATCCGAATATGAAACAGTGTAATTTTATTATAATGTCATTATAACGGATATCAACATCAGGGTTTTTCCGACCATTATATGTTGGCTCGTCTCGGTTCGAATCTGTTGCTCTAGTATACCACTTTCTTCGATCACCGGTCAGTATCAAAATTACTTTTTGAACACACTCGCATGTTTGTTGTTGGCATCGATTTTGAACTGTTGCCTGCGTCCAGTGGTCTCTCTAAGAAGTTTTAGAAGTTTAGAAAAAAAGACCGTTAGTAACAGTTCAAAAATTTATCACGCGTTATTCTAGGATTTTTGCTCCTCATTTTTAGGAAGACGGGCGGTTCAACATAAGAAGTTTTTAAAATGGTTTGCTCTCACGAAATGTGGACATTAGAACTAAATGGGAAGATGTGCATTAAAATCATGTAAAGCACTGTTTTGGGATGTAATCTGGTGCGTTCATTATTGCCTGTGAACTTTGAGCATTTTTTGAGAAACTTTTGCATAAAGATCGTTGAAAAGCTTCGGTTTTGAAGTAATCGGTAGCTAAAGCTTTAGTATACCATTTCATAAAGAATAAGTCTGAAAATCTCTTTTAAGTGCTCACTGAAAGAGATAAAAAAGCGTTTAATGCTACAATCAGAATTTATGCGTCGAATTTACGATCGTTCGTAAATATTTTCTTTAAGATCGTCATATACGACAATGTACTGTGTCTGCGTGTATATGACGATTTATGACCTCATTACGATCGTAAGTAGATGTATACGATAATCGTTTTTATTCTCCTGAGTACAAAGATGTCCAAACATGAAGGTGATACATTTTTCAGGTTTAACTGTGCAAAATCAGATATGAAATATGTTCTCACATTGTTGCATATTCCCATGCTATATATATATTGGATTTATGTTATCTCATGTCTTTCATATACATGTGAGGAATATGAAGAAATAATGCATTATTGACTTACTTCCACCACGCATCCCTCCCATCCAACGACACCCAGCAGTGTCGGACTCTCTCAATTCCGAAATTCTTCATTTTCCACAAGAACTTCTCTCTAGTCTAAGGAATTTTTATCTTCAGCTAAACTATCTTAAAGAATAATTTCTACTTTCACATCCAACTTCCAAAAATTCAGGAATTCCTCTTATTCTTCTTATGAACAGTTCGAAGGCCAACGGAATTTCTTTTTTATAAATTCTCATGGAAATTCCTCTTTTATACGACTACGCATATATACTATTTTCCATACGTCTAAAAGTCAAAAGTCTAAAAATACATTCGACTCTATACTTCAAGTCAGACTTCTGAGACTTTTAGACTATGATGCACTCTGGGTCTACTGCATCGTCCTCGTAATGTTATTGAGGTGGACAAACGTTGAAACTGGCAAACGAGAGATACATGTGGAGGAGGGCGGGATGAGTATGATAGTGAGTCAGCATGCAGCGTTGTAGTGATGGAATTTTATTCATTTGATTTGGAATAGTCAAGCAAAACTAAATTTTTAATCGTTTTGATTTCTGCTAGTATTTCAGAACACTTATTTTTCTGTCTATTCTGCCGATTTCTACAAATCAAACATCATTATCTTCTGACTTACCCTAATCTCCTCTGACTTTCCTAAGGCGCATTCATCGTTATGGTATTTCAACGTTTATTCACTTAGTCAACATTACTAGAGTAATGTAGTGGTTTTGGAGTTCATCATAGTCTACAAGTCTAGAAATTATCAGAAGTCTCCAGCGACCGATAAATACAAGAAGCCTAAACTTTTGGGAAAAGTCCAATTAGGCTTTCGGCTCCTACACAACTCTCTCGCAAACACTTTCTCGCTTCTGGGGTCAAGCTGAAAGCCTCTGACTGTATATTCTCTAACTTAACTCGACGATATATGCGTAACTCCGACAGTTTAAATTTCTTCGTCATTCCTCATATTCCTATGATGCTGAGGTAGGTCAATGTGATACTAAGGGTACGTCACATCTCTCCTACGATTTTTGAAGGTGTTGATCATCATAAAAGCCCAGTCAAATTTCGAATATGTGTCATGATCATGTTTGGACACCACTCCACCAATATGTGTAGAATACCGTCCGGTTACTGCCGATATGTCGGGCAGTTTCAGATTATACAGCGATAACCAACGATATTTTTGAGACCGCGGTTTACCAGCGATGGTAAATAAAAATGTTCACCATGGAGAGCAAGACAGTTCCTATTCTTATAGTTTCTAAGAACTGGTCGAAAGAATTGATTCACAGTTCGGTTCTGTTGAACCGGATCGGAACTGCTACTAGTTCCGTCGAACTATAAGAATTGGAACTGTCAACTATTCCTATCAATCAGCGATGATCATATCAGCGGTCATGTTTTTTTGCATGGTAAAAGATTCCGGTCAAAAGACCGAAATCATATATTACATTAGCATGACATGATGCTAATGTACATCTTCCCATTCAGTTCTTACGTCATTTTAACGATAATACTTGCAATTAAAGTTAAACGTTTTGATTTAACATCTCATTTTTGCCATTAGATCCCAGAGCGCAGGTAACGATTCCGAATATTTTCCAAGATATATCTCGAAGTTTGTCGACTATCCTGACGCAGACTGGGGAATTTTTTACATTAACAAATTATTAGATTGTCTGTCAGATTGTCGTAATCCGGTTATCTAGTTTCTAATGTCATCGCGAGTACTTTAAAAGCGTCAAAATAAATCGTTTTTTGTTTTTCTAGAAATACAGCTATACAATAAGGTATAGCTTTATTTTGTTCTTGTTTCATATTCATCGCCTGTAATAATAATAAGTGTGGTGTCGTTTATTCATACAAAATGAGTTTGAAAAGCCACGTAGTTTATGAAGATGGTAAAGAAGTTATGGCAAAATATCCGTCATCGACATTTTATTATCGTGCTCAAGTCCATGGTTATGATGAACACAATGATGAATATCATATTAAATTTAAACGTGGAAGAAAAATATATTATATCCCATCAAGTGAAGTTTGTGTAGGTATCACCACTTTCAGCTTACAAAAGATGGATAATATTCATTTTTTTCGTACCAGTTGCCTGAACAATGTATACAAGCAACAGCACGTATAACAAGAAGTAACGTGAGTAGTCAAAGATAGCCTTCTGAAGGAAGATCTGAGCATGCTCTTTTTGATATCAAACGGAACAAGTGTTGTTTTTCATCTTATTTTAAGTCTAACACCCTTGCACCATATCCATTGTATACGATGAGTGATCAAGTGGATCTCATCTCAAAACAAGTACCAGCTGTCGTTCCTGTTAATCATCGAGCAGATAAAGCTTATCATCCAATATTGTCTGCAATCGATGCAACAAATATTAAAGATGATCATGAAGCGACTTATTTAGACATTGAACAAACAACAAAACTGTTGAACAGTAACAACAATAATCATAGTCATATAAAAAGTTCAACATTTGGTGTTGACGGTAAGAGTAGCAATAATGATCGATCTTCAGCATTGGATTCAAATACAAGAACAACATCACATGTACAAAACAATTATGTAGAACGATCGTTGCCACAACAACATAAAAGCATAGAAACCCCATCTTCATCATCCGTTATTGTGAATAATACATTTGAACATGTTATTTCTCCTAATCGCCGGTTTCAAGCGAATTATATCGGTAGGTATTGTTTGTAAAAAAATATTCTTTTTCTTTGTGCTTTTTAGAATTATTCATTATTTAGATATTTTACAACATAATTTGCATTCGACATCAAATGTAAATCATTCCGCGGCAAGTATACTTGAGCGACCGTTACCAAGACCAAGACAACAAGAATCAAAAACAACGTTACAATATTACAACTGTCAACAACATATGTATGAATATAAAGAAAATTTTATTTGTGAATCAAATAGCGGAAAAATCGTAAATGAACGATATCAAACTGGACAAATACCATCTCGAACATTCAAATCACGTTTTACAACAGCTTTGAGAACATTTATTCAAATATTATTAGTACCCTTTATTATTTCAATGAGTATGATCATGTGCGCAAGAGTAAGTCGAGTTATCACAGTATGATTAAACTTTACACTTAAAGAAAGATCGAATTTATTAATAGTTCTTACCATTATCAGTCAAAGAATTGTTTACTATTATCGGCTTCAAAATACAAGGCAGTCGGTTAGGTTTTGAATAACTTTTGGCAGGAATGAGGAAGAGACCTGCGGTTTTCTGAACTGTCTTCTACAAAACTGGATCCAAGTGACATCGTCAGAATCCACGGTTCGGGCGTGGCAAGGCTTTTCTCCAAAGCACCAGTACTGCCCTCTGTTAGGACCAGGACCAGTAAAAATGATTGCAAGCATAGATCTTCGACTATGGTGAATCTCGTGGAAACGCTAGTTTTCAAAACAAAATGCAACAACCGAGTGAAAACTTATACTAGATGAAATAACCCATTTTTGATTATTTTCATCAAAAATTAAAAAATTCATAACTCAGTCAAAATCCATCCAACCTACTTCAGAATGTCAGGAAATACTCTATTTTATCTGCAACATATCGTAAAGCTCAATAAATGTTGAAAAAACCAATAGAAAATACTTTGGTTTCCAGAAAGGTTTTCCAGAAACCTTCGGAACTAAGAAAATACTTTTTATTAATTTTACGCACAGAATGAGCGGATAAAATAGAGTATTTCCTGACATTCTGAAGTAGGTTGGATGGATTTTGACTGAGAATCTGAACCGTGGATTTTGAAGATGTCACTTGGATCCAGTTTTGTAGAAGACAGTTCGGTCTATAAGTACATCGAAAAAAATCAGCATATTTCTATGTCTCTTGGAGCTACGGCCTGGTTTTCCAAAGATCCTCTGAAAATTCGGTCATTGAAATTTTCTCAAAAATTACTTTTGCTTGTGCAAAGATGCGTACAAGCGTTGGCTATCGAATATCGAAAACCGCAGGTCTCTACCTCATTCCTGCCAAAAGTTATTCAAAAACTAACCGACTGTCTTGTGTTTTGAAGCCGATAATAGCTTACCTATATCGATGGTTATCATTTTTTAATGTATCTCATCGTTCATACACTATTTTGTTGCTTTTACTTCAAATTATTTTCAGAAATGTTTTACTGTTAAAAATATTAATTATGAATTATCGAATATGAGTAGTGAATTGAATACAACAATGTTAATGTTTACAACTGGTCATAGTTTTCACTTTTTTCTACAGTTTGCAGTATATACCATATTAAATCAAATATTTTCTTCAAATATTTTCTTCTATCAATTAATCAATGGTATGTACATCTATGACTTTCTTTTCCAAAACATGTTTAGTTTCTTATAGGTGTATTAATAACACTTGTCAACAGTTGGGCATATCAACAAGTTATAACCTACAATTGGTTACCATTATTGGTTCATTATATGACACCTTTTTGTATTGTGTCAGTTTTAACTACATATTTTGTTTCATTGATTGCATCGTTTACACAAAAACAAGAGAATAGCAAGGTATAGAGATAGCTAAAAGAAATGTTTCAATGAATTTTTTATGTCACTATTACATCGTGGACGTCGTATGTCTTTAAAACTGTATCTTCATTTGCTTGTAGATAGTCAGTCTTTGCCAACAACTATTATACGACCATCGACTTTCTTTGGTATTCCTTGGACTCAACTAGTTTCAATTAGTACAAGTTCATTTATTGTAAGAGCTAGTTGTACTCTTTATTTTAATTTTCATTTCTGTGTTTATTTTAGCCATTATTCATATTATCGTTAACATCTGAAGAAATTCATTATCGTTTTAAACTGAATCCAAGTTTAGCATTGTCATTGTTTCTATCGCTCTTATTCTCATTAGAAAATATATTTAATCCGGTATATAACGGCTATGCTGTATTTGTATTACGTTGTATAATGGCTTTTCATTTCAGATTAATCTTATGCCAAATAAAATTGCATCATTAAGTTTTGAAAATTTATTCAAATCTTATCCGTTTGAATTAATTCGTTGGTTACATCCAGCCATGTTTTTGTTTCAACGTTATAAATTTCCTCCACAACTGAGAAATTTTATTTGCGCCGTAATACTCAGCGGTGAATAAAAACATCAAACGTTTTAAGTCTAAAATAAATTGACATTGCATTACTTTAAGGATCAGCATTAGTATTGCGTGTCAAAGTAAAGCGTGACTTACGTCGAATGTCTCAATCTGGTCAGTTTGAATAATTTAATAGTTAACGTAAACTAATTTTCTTGCGAATGACTACATTCTTTCATACGTTTAGATAAAGGGATGATTGTATCGTGGGGACAATTTATTCGATTTTCAATGTTATTTTCAGATATTTGTCTGGATCTTGCATTAGCTATTTTGTGCGGTAAGTTAACGATTTAATTCATGGAGTAGATAGAAACATGTCTAGTCCTAGATAAATTTATAGAAAAAATTTATCTTTGAGTTTTTTCCTTGACTGTAACTAAGAAAGCTAGAACAAATCCGAAAAAAGCAATTTAAATAGCTGAAAGCGTTTAGATTTCTAGAAAACCACAATCTTCAAAACTGAACAGTCTGATAAAGACGATTTTTTTTCATTAAACTGCATTCGAGTGACAAAAGACTGCATAGTAAAAATATATCTGCAGAATTTTTTGTGAATCACTTTAATGGAAAAAATCATCTTTATCAAACTGTTTAGTTTCGAAGATTTTAGTTAGAAATTTGATTTAGATGAAAGGATAAGACTGGAAATCGGTTCACTATATTTTTTGTCGAAAAATGATTCTGTGAGTAGAAGAAAAGTATTATCAGTTGTTTTTAACTCATTTCGCGTACGTTTGATATTATCATTTAGTTAAACTAAAATCCGAGTAATTCTTCGTCAATAGGATGCCAATAGTTCACCCCTCAAAGAGCAGCTATAGGTTACGTAAAAGGTGCTTTTCTCATGTTTCTTTTGCGTAGGCGACAAAGTAAATATACCACCGGATAGCTCCGAAAATTCTCTACAGAATGTGTGGTACATAACAGTTAATCACAGTGCATCGATAACAGTAAGGCGCTTAGAATAATCCTACGTATACAACATAGTAGACAGTTCTCGCTGTTATAGCCCTTTTTCCTCCCAAACAAGAAAACATATATCTTTCTATTATATACCATTTTTTTCATAAAATTTGTTACAAACTGAGCTGGTTAGAGTATCTAGGTGGGGCCAGCCATTAACGATATGCAAAAGCGTTTGGGTGTTATATATGCAGCACAGTATGGCATAATCATAAGAACTCCTTTGTTTTTGAATCTTCAGTAAAGGCTGGAACTAGTCTGAATACTGTTTTGAATAGCCCGACGATTTTTCTATCAGATGAGGTGCATATCGCCATTTTATCAGAAAACTTGACAATAAGGTTTCTGGAAAACCTGAAGGCTGGAAAACCAGCTCTTTGGTTTTTGGTGAGAAAATTTTGCGAACCAGTTTGCCTAATAGAGCGAAGCATTCTGAGTAAAGTAAGATATCTCCCGGCTGTCCGCCCACAAACCTTTTTCACCGGAATATTTTGGTAATTTTAATCCCTGTTGTAGCCGTTCCTAAATCGACTGCAGTGGGATGAAAAAACGTTATGGACAGCCAGGAGATATCTTACTTTACTCAGAATTCTTTGCTCTATTAGGCAAAATGGTTCGCAAAATTTTCTGACCAAAAACCAAAGACTTGGTTTTCCAGCCTTCAGGTTTTCAGGGCTATCCGGTGGTATATTTACTTGTCGCCTACGCAAAAGAAACATGAGAAAAGCACCTTTTACGTAACCTTTAGCTGCTCTTTGAGGGGTGAACTATTGGCACCCTATTGACGAAGAATTACTCGGATTTTAGTTTAACTAAATGATAATTTCAAACGTACGCGAAATGAGTTAAAAACAACTGATAATACTTTTCTTCTACTCACAGAATCATTTTTCGACAAAAAATATAGTGGACCGATTTTCAGTCTTATGTGGTCCCCTCTTTTCTATACACAACGATCCTCGACGCACGAGGGAATCACCCTAAGTGTTGATATAAGCATTATTCTGTCAGAATACAAGCGGAAAATATTCCATTATAGTATTCTAAACTAAAACTATCGAAAAACACAAAATCAAGTTTGTACGAATAGAGATTCGAACATGTGAACTTACCTTTGTAGTAAACTACTACAAAACTAAAGTTCACTGTTCTCTTTCACCCTAAGTGTTCCCGAGCCTTTTCGTGGAAACACACATAGGCATAGGTTATCGCTGATGCTGATTTCGAATATCATAGTCAGAGCGGTATACGGGCCGTTGGAGACCCAGTTTTATAGAAAACCAGTTTTTCAGAAACTCTAAAAAATAATCAAAACTTTTCTTATTGGGTCATAATTGTAGCCCGCAAATTTCTGATTAAAATGAGACATCTCCTAGCTCTACACGACCTTTCTTTGCAAAGTTATAGAATTTACAAGAAAAGCCCTAAATGTTCATTGTCAGCTCAAAGCTACAGAAATAAGAAGAAATTAATTTCTTTTCTTGTAAATTCTACAACTTTGCAAAGAAAGGTCTTGTAGAGCTAGGAGATGTCTCATTTTAATCAGAAATTTGCGGGCTACAATTATGATTCATTAAGAAAAGTTTTGGTTATTTTTTAGAGTTTCTGAAAAACTGGTTTTCTAGAAAACTGAGTCTCCAACGCGTCGTATGTCGCTCAAACTATGATATTCGAAATCAGTTTCAGCGATAACCTATGCCTATGCGTGTTTCGACGAAAAAGCTCAGGAATACTTGGGACGGTTCCCTGGTCAGTCGATTTCCGGGAATCGAACCTTAATAAGACTAGATCGTATCTTCAATTTTTTTGAGCATTGTATTCAAATATATAGGATTCTACTCGTACCTTCTACTATTTAGAACTTCAATCTATAACTATCTTATACAGCAGTCTAATAGGTATCTTTTATCGGTTATTTCATTTTTCAAGGTTTTCATTGGCTACCACTGCAACTATTTACCGCTGCTGTCTTCTATCATGTCTGCGATGCAGTACGTTTAACGTCACCATTTAATAGCCATCAGATTCATCTTCATGGACAGAACTAAACAATAAGTATAATTATTGAACAAAAGAACTTTGTTTTAAGCCTTTGTTTATTTAATTTTAATATTTGTCTGTTTGTGTGTGTTGATAAATGAATGAGTCACGCATATTTTATTCTTTTTTTGTTTTGTTTATTCAATTTATCGAATGCAAAAATGTTAATGTGGCAGTATAGTCTTCGGTGATATTGGTGCCAGATCAAATTAATTTCGATTGTTTTGTATAATTTTTGAGTTGTGTGAAAATTACTAATAGCAATAATAATACATAAATTTTAGAAATAAAATTATGAGTTTCAAGGACGTTTATGTATGTGGAATGACAATCTGTCGAAAGTAAATCAAAGCATTTATTAGATTTAAACAAATTTAATCGGATTAAACACAGGAACTGGTTTGATGAATCGTTTCTGATTAGGGGTGTTCAGTTCTCGGTTCTGGTGAAGAACCGAAACCGCGGTTCTCTTATTTTCGGTTCTTCATCGGGGACTAGAACCGTGGTTTCTAGACGGTTCCTTTTTTTCGGAACAGAGACTTTTTGACTTACCTTTCTTTTAGCAAAGTGAAAACACACTGTTGACAAAGCTACACAAGGATGTATTTGCCTGTCATCATTTGAAAAAATCCCTTTGTTTTTTATAAAATGAATTCTATTTCGTTGAATTGCTACTGCTTTGAAAATTATTTTCCAGTTCTAAGCTCAGAACTGAGAACCGCGGTTTCTTTCGTTTTAGTTCTAACTTGAGAACCGAACATCCTAATTCTGATAACTACTCTTATATATATCAATAAATAAGTTTGTACTGTGTTCGTCAGAAAAAAGCGATAAATTAGGTGTCTGTTAACTTGCAAATTGGTGTCTTTTTTCGTACATACACTCTCGGTTACTTTATGATGGTTCTATAGAATTCCGGTTTCTGTGGACTCATTCAAGAAGGATCTAGAGGGACAAATGGATGTCAGACTCGTACTCATTATCAAAACCTGCTACTTGTAAAGTATATTCCGAAGAAAAATCGATGAATCCCTTGACGAGGTTCCTTCGGTAGGTTTTCTTATCGTTTTGAAGGGTGTATTACAATAGGCAACGTCTCTATGTGCATATATCAGCGGGATTTATTTCTTTTTCTATTCATATTTGCGACTATCTTTATTGTACCTGTAACATTTTCTGATAGCTCCGTTTCATCGTCATTTTTCAATAAGTTTTACTAGTTATTCTTGAACTGACTATTTTCATCTAAAGAAATTGTATATAACACCGATCTTTTAATTTTTTCAACGTTCCCTGCATGGAAATCACACCTTCCTTGTTAACTGCACTAGTTTTACAACTACATTAACTGATTGTTAACCACAACTATTGTTGGCGCCAAAATATAGTGCGGCTGACTGTTTTTTGAATAACTTTTTATAGGAAAGAGATAGAGAACTGGGGTTTTCAGATTCTGAAAGTAGACAAAAGTTTCCATAAATCTACGTAAAAACCAAGGTCCGCGGATCACCTGAAGGTGGTAAGTCTTGCGGGTTTTCCAAAGGTAATGTTCGCCAGACACCTAAAGAAGAGTTTTTTTTTGTTCTCTTTGGGTTTCGAACAACTGACCTCTGCTCAATCATAAAAACAAGTATATTTCTATTTCTAGTAAACAAGTAAATAAATAAAGAATAAATCATAAAGAAACGCAGAGTAAAAAAACGTAAGATGCAAATTATAAACCTAAATAAAACGTAAGAAATAAAAATGGATCGTATTACGTACGTAGAACAAAGTATCTCAAGCCTAATAACCATGCTTTCAGCGTTCTAAACATATTACGTCCAACTTCATATTTAACGCATACGGCATTTTTTTCATATATCTCTTGTTGTTTTCCATAATATTTTTGCACTTTTGCTCGGCATTTGTTTTAGACTCCATTCTTTCTTGTAATCGTTTTTGGATTTCGTCATCGTTCACATTTCCATCAAGATCAACATAATCCTATTGAAAAT